CCTTTCCAATTTGAATTTCAACCGCTTCAGCAACTTGCCTACGTCGGCAGTTTTGCCAACCACGTGCTTTTTTATCAGTTTCGAGAGAAGTATAAAACAGAGAATGCCGTGTCTACGCCATACAAACTCTCGTTGCTTATTGTAGATTCTGAAATGTCTGAGTGCTCGCTCCACCCGGCCCCGGTCGTCGTTATCGACTCGACTGAAATACCGGTTTACTGCATACCATGGTACAAAATAGTAGATACTGTGTGTGGCAGGGGCTGCTCTAGTATGCAACAGACTTGATTTTCAACGAGCAGAAGGAAGAATGTGATTGAGTGTGGCCGACAGATAGAAGAAACCGGTCACCGGACAACGATGGAGATGTTATGCCCTACCAATTCTGCCGGCATAGCTGCCGGACATTGAAATGCTATCTTATGTGAAGAATGAACTTCATTTAATGAGATTTTGTCAAAATGTTCTTTCGCTTCTTCGAGCTTTATGGCCGCCATCAAATGGAGCACAGTGATGCTCAGTGTTGGGAAAATCATTCTCAAATTTCATTCATTGGGCTCTCCTGAGGGAATACATTCCTGTGAGAATCTGCAAAGCAAATCTAACGCTTGACATTGTCATACATTTTCACACACTAGAACTCACAACGCCAAAAATTCATTTCAGTTTAAAACGCATAAAAACAGCTAAACGTCAATTCGACAGTGAGCATGAATAAGGGCGTATGCGCGATGATCGATTTTATCTTTGCATTGCTACAGCTAAGCGAAACAATTTTACGCCCTTGTGCATGCTTAATGTCGAATTGATAGCATATTCAAACATGTTTTGTTAAATTTTCTATCGAATAAAGCAAACACAAGACTAATAACAATTCTAGATAGAGCTGGAATTGGGGCCTAACAGCTTTTGTAAACAATGACTTCAATCGATGATTTCTAGAAATTCAAGGCTCGCCCACGCAAACCAACATCCTCATCGGGTAGGGAAAGACTTCCCCTATCCGATGGTTATGTTGGTCTCCGTGGACGTGCCTTGAGTTCCTAGAAATCATCGATAGAAGGCATTGTTTATAGCAAAATATTTTCAAATATCTGAGATCTCGAAAAAAAATCTCAGATCCTATGTAAGTCTCCCATACTCTCAAGATCAATATATAATCAGAGCTGCTTGTACGATTCGAACGAGGAATATCCGGGAAAATACGGGAATTTGATAAATGTACCAGGAAAATAATCTTGTTTCTATCATTTAAATCGCTTCTGATTGATTGAATAAGATCAGTAGAAACATGGCAACTTTATCCCAAAATTTCAATTATTTATTAAATTCGTTTTGATCTCATGATTCTGAACAAACATAGAAAAAATCGCAAGGTTCTAGGACAATTTTTATAATGTGGCCACTTTATCGGTCAATCCAGATTATCCGGAGAACCCGAATATGGCCACTATGCCCCAAATATAGTTTCCATATTAAATACGCTTTGATCTCTTGATTCTGAACAACATAGAAAAAAATAACAAGGTTCTAGGACATTTTTATAATGTGGCCACTTCATCGGTCGTTCCGAATCCTCCTTAAGGCCAGTAGAGTTTCCCTGAGGGCGTATGTTGGCTTCGTATCACTCCAGGAAAACATTTGAATAGTGGCACGAAGCTAGATCCGGCCAGAAGATCATAGAGTTCTCGTGTTGCTTAAACAGAGGAAGCAGACGCTTCTGTGTGCACTCCTTGAGGTAGATCTCCCCGTTTACAATCACGGTAGTCACGAACGGTGCACTCCGTTTGCCACACAAGCAGATCGCTTGCCAAATCATGTATTTCATGGCGAACTTTGAAAGTTTCTAGTTACTTACTTCCTTGTGCTGGGCGGAACAGTAGGAAGCTGCCGGAAGTCCGCCTCGACGTAAGTCTCATCATCCATGATGAGACAATGAGGCTTCGTAGCATCAGGGTGTGCAGTTTCCGGGCCCGTGACCCACCGTATTTTGCTATTCGTCACGATTTGGAGCCTTCTGCACTTTGTACGTATGCAGTCCCTCCCGGTCCTTGGCTCTCTGAACGATAATTTTCATTATTATAGCAACAGTTTCTCATTCGTGCAATTTTCAATAGTGACCGTTTGAAAATTGATAAAGTGTTCATTTTAGCAGATTCGTAGATGACATTCCAATCGATTGGCTTGTTTAGAATTAATATCCATCCGCTATTGACAAAGTTATAAGTGGTTAAAATCTGACCACTTTTCGTAATGCGGTCGATTTTGGTTTTTTGAAATTGCACCCCCAATATGTTGCCGAAAGACGTAATCCTACGTCAAAATCACACCGGCATTTTTGCCTCATACGTTCTCAAAGCGTCGTTACCTACCACCAAATTTGAATTAGGCCATAGAGCGAGAATCTGCATTACTAGTGCCAAAACTGGCGCACTTCAATAAATTTTGAGTAAATGACAAAAAGAAGGAGATTTAATTGAAATTGAATAAAAATATAGACTTCTTCCGGAACAATCATATCGCTAATAACCTTGAACGACGCAAATCTCTAATCTTCGTTACTAAAAAAACTTCTAAATAATCGTCCACTCGGACTCGATTATCAAACGGGAGCTCCATCGTTTGTGATTATCAGTTTTCAGAATTACCTCTATGTTGGGATGTTTCTCCCTTGCCATATATTCCCAGCATTGTCTTTTAACAACACACGCCGGCTAGTGTTGCATCTTTTTGAACCGCACCAATCTTATCAACGAGTTTGATTTACGGCGAACGAAACTGTACGGTACACGGACGAACCGATTCTGATCTGCTGTGTGTTTTTTATTGAATCATAAAGGCACACACAGAGAACTTGGCCTATCAACAGCACATAACACTTGAACAGGTCGGAATTTCATCAGTGGTCGTCGTCGTCGTCAGACGGGCGTGTTTGATTATGTAACCTGTTGCAATCGAAGGGTCATTTGCGATCCAGTGAACTGAAACTGGGAACCCGGAGAGGTGCATGGATCGTATGAAAGTGCATTTTGGACGTGGTGGTGACGGCAGTTAAAGTCGTTCCAGAGCGTAATTTTCCTCTGCTTGTTCAGGGTTCACATGGCAGTAATTACTGGTTGATGAACTTATGTTTTTACTTCCAGGGATGACCTTGTAGAATAAGTAGTTTTGCACACGCTAACAAATCAACCGCAGGGACATTGGCGTAGCTAATTGGGGCCAGGCCCCTTACCCATTTTTTTTGAAAACTAATATATAGTGAACTCTCTAGAACTCGATATTGAAGGAACCATCGAGATGTAGAATTATCGAGTTATATAATAATAATCATATACAAAATCGCTATCATAGTAGCCATGAAATTCATTTTTACTATGGTAACTCGATATCGAGTTTGTGGACATTGAGTTGTGGAGAGTTGACTGTAGTTTAAATTTTCGGTATTAGAATCACCAGAAAATGGGGGGGGGGGGGGAGGCACCCTAGGCACCCCCATTAGCTACGCCAATGGTCAGGTGTATAAGTGTATAAACGAGTGTAGTACTCGATGGTAACTATACAACTCTTCCCTTGGATGGAATCATGTTATTGCACATGAGACATGAGGCTTTAAGTTGGTGTGGCTCGTGTATGATAAGGTTAAAAGAACCTCGTGCTTATAAGTGCTTGATGATCAATCACCGATAAGTAAATGTGGATTATTCCAGCTCGTGTAGATTATTGTGCCGGTTATCTGGCACATCTACCCATTCCTAACTATTGAATTTTAGAATCTCCTCTTAGGCTTGGGATTTGGAAAATATTCTCAAGCTCAGGGAAATTGACTTAACTCAATTGATCACTGAAAATTTAAAGGAATTTACAAAAATAAAACACTGTGTGGCAGTTTTTTTTTCGCTTAGTATGCATTTATTTGCTAGGCTCAATGTCTCTTGCAGCTAAACGGAGCCGGTCCCGTACGGTAGCAAGTAGCAAGCGTCGAAGGGATTGTTGTGACCATAACCTCTTCTGCCGGGAGGAACATGAATTGCTCAGTTGTCGAGTTGATCAGCGATACGTGACAAGTTGTCCACATCAAAGCTGTGCACTATCAATATGCATCTACTTTCTGTTTTTTGCGACTTGTGTGATCAAACCAAGTAACCTCTAATCAGATTCATCCAAAAAAATTGCTTGCTGATTTCTCAAACATTTACAGGGGAATTGCACTTGGTACCGTCGACTGCCATTTTCTTACTTAAAAATCTTCGGTTTACCTATAAGACATGAAAATGAAAGGGTTAATTAGAGCAGATTTAGCAGTTTCTGATGCATTGATCCGCCGTACCTGAACGAATCCCTAAATACAATCCGCAATGCGCAAATTTAATACTTTCTTTTTTAAGCGTTTGCTTTATTTCGCCATATGCTTCGATTGATCTGCACATTTAGTCTTTTTATTTTTATTTTCTTCGATCGACCGAAACCGATTTTTACGGTTTCGTAATGCCTAAAATTCATCACACCGTGAGCTCTACTTTCGATTCCCCAGTAGGTAGGGACCTGCCTACCAACTTACCACCACAAAACCACGGCAGTCAGGCCCGGTTCAGTGGTGTCTGGTATGGCGAAAACCTCCACAGCAGTGCCTTTAGGCACAGGTTGTTTTTTTTTTCTTTTGCAACGAAGCCATTGCAAAGTAAATGGAAGAGCTTCGCTCCATCGTCACTGCGTGCGACAGTTTCGATTCATCCCTCTGCGGAATATTAAATACCTATAGGTAATTTTCTAGAACTACTTTCGCAACAACACGGCAAATTGGATCACATTCCCCGTGCGATATAAATAACCTTCTTGCATCACTTGCAACACCAAACCTTTCTGGTGCGTCGATTGCGTCAATCGAAAGGTCCTTTTGTTCCAAACGGTCGGCGAAATCCTTTAATTGAGTTATGCAACCAGCAACACCCAACACGTACGATAATGACCATATTTTCTTCGTTTCTTTTTCTTCCTCGCAGCCGGAGGAGTGGCCCTCCAATCCGGACGACTTTATGGACCTGTTCCAGTTGGACACGAACTTGCTGTTCAGCGATGGTTCTGCCGGTGCTGCCGTCGGCGGAACGGACGACATCACGTCCAGTTTGATCAATAACCTGCAAAATGGTTTCAACTACGGGGATTTGTGCGGACCGTTGAACGACGGAGGTGTTGGCGTGCTGGAGCATCATGCCATGTCGCCGTCGTCGTCGCTCGGATCCGACCGGGAGTTCCATGGGTTCCCCAGCAGCAGCAACGGTTCGATGGACGGCAGCGGATACGAGGATGATTTCATCAGCGGAACGCCGCCCCGTATGGTGACCGGTTCGCTGGGTGTCAAGATCGAAGTGGACGAAGCCATGAACGAGTTTAATGTCTTCGAACGGACCGCGGAGCATCAGGCACTCTCATCGGCGGCTTCGGACAGTGGTCTGTCGAGCGATCATTTGGATTTGTGAGTATCTTGTCGAGCGAGAATAATCTCGCTTCATTTGCAATTTTCTTAATCGCCTAATCTAGACGTTATTCGCGTGAAAGTAAACTGACGACGAACTAGAGCGTGCGTAATCTGTACTCTATGAAAGTGATACCGTATGAGCCGTACGAACGTACCTAACTCGCATATGAATAGCGTGTAGGTATGTGTCACCTTCCAAATTGAAAATTTAAAGTAGAATGTAAAACCGGCTGCCGCATGACGGTACACGATAGCTATCTATCTTGCCTCGAAGTCTGCTTAAGTATAAACATTACTCGTCTTGTTCGAGCCTTGGCGCTCGATGTTTGTTGATGGTGATGACGATGGTTTGAAAGTGTGTGCTCCGCTGGTGCTCGCTAAGTCAGTACCCGGCTGATGACTACGGCATGCTGCATATCACAAAGGAACAATCTAGGTCATCACTAATAATATTAATAGAAGCTATATGCGTGATCATGGCTGATGCAGTTCGTTCTTCCGTTGAGACAGAGTGCAACTTTCTTCCCTGAAATGCATGCAGTTCCATTTCGACCAGGGAAAGTGGCTTTAGAGTAGTTAGTTTGAAAGATATCCTTCCAGATTGATAAAAAATCGGCATCATGATGTGGAATTACCCTTCAAGTCTCTATTCTGGTCAACATGAACAGAAACCAACAATTCATCGCTATGACCTTGAAGGCAGCTAACATAAGTCATACTACTATGAGACATTTTTTTTTCAATAATGTCTGACAACCACCTTGAAATTTATAAGCAATACGTGGCATTACTTTCAAGTAAACCAATTCAGTATCTTGACCTACTGTAATCCATAAAGTATATGGGACAAAAAAACATATCACATCAAGAAGATCGTCACTATCCTGACTGCTAGAAAAACTCTTTATACCCTGAATTATCGTCGAGCGGAGTTTTTTGTTTTCACTGAAGTCGGATCCTTATCCGATGACATTCGGTGACCATGGACGTTAAGTGACCTAATGCAGGGTGTCGACTCCCTGAAAAAACCTGGAAAATCAGGGAATTCCTTTTTGGACCTGGAAAATCAGGGATTGTCAGGGGATTTCATTCAAAGTCAGGGAAATATTTCTTTATAACAGAAACATAGGGTAGAGGACTACTTCGGCCTAATCGCCCATTTTGGGCCTATCGAGCAGAAAACTTCAAATAAATCCATGATTTCAGAGTTATGAAGTCAATTATGCGTTTGGTACGATACTTAAGTTAATAAGCTACGGAACGAAGTCAATGAGAACGCGTGATATAAAGGTTTGCACCCATTATTCCCAAAACCAAAAGGAGCGCTCCGACCGAATCAATTTTTATCTTCATCCGATAGGCCGAAGTAAATTCATTGGCGTTTCAATGCGTTAGGCCGAGTTTAGAATCCGTAGGCCGAGTTTGGCGTCAAGAATCAGTGTTAGACTTTTGACAATATCTCAACGATTGGTTTTTCTTTATGAAATCTTACGGTACATACGGAAAGGTAAATAAATTTGGAAGCCATCAGTAATAATAACATTCCGTTTGGTGCTAAACTGCGCTAGATTAAGCAAGACTAAGTGCGGGTTGTACTTAATAGGCCGGAAATGGGGTAGTTAACCCTATTAATAAGTATGACTGACTTCGCTAGTTTCAAACAACTTAATAACTCGTTGTAGTTTGAGGATACTTACTTACCTTAAGGGGTGCATAGGGCCTTTGTGTAAGATTTCCATCCTGGGTGATTACTAGCTTTGGCCTTGACCTGTGCCCAAGTCAAATTTCGGTCAATGTTCTTAACTTCGCTGTTTAGGCTCCGCCGCCACGAGCCTCTGGGTCTGCCTACGATGTCCTACTGGATTCCAGTCCAGTGCTTGCTTGCAGATTTCGTTTCCGCTCCATCATAGTGTGTGGCCGACCCACCTCCACTTCCGTTCACGAATTTCTGCCTCTATCGGCTTCTGATGGCACAAACGATGAAGCTCGGAATTTGAGATCCAATTGTGGGGCCACCAGGCACGAATTATGTACCGCAGGCATCGGTTCCCCGCTAATACACACCATGTTTCACTGGCGTATAACAGCACAGACTTCACGTTCGAGTTAAAAATTCGGATTCTGGTGCGTCGACTGATCTGATTCGCTCTCCATACATTTCGCAAACTGGCAAAAGAAGCCCTGGCCTTCTTAATTCGTGCACCTATGTCGCTCGTGCTGCCGCCGACCGACGCTATCTGGCTGCCAAGATATTGGAAGCTTTTGACTTTCTCCACTGCCTGCCCAGCTACCGTGAAATTGGAAAGGTTTTCCGTGTTGACATCCAACGATTTGGTCTTGTTGACGTTGACGGTTAGACCTGCTACAAAGGAGCGTTCCAGGTCATCGAGCTTACTCTGCATGTCAGAGCGCCGTTGTGCTAATAATGCCACATCATCAGCCAAATCGAAGTCGTTGAGATGGATGGCATCATTCGTACGCCCATTCACGTACGTCGGCGTAGACTTCTTTAGGCCATTGACTGTGAAAGTAGTCAGGTAGCCTTGTTTACATGTTTGACGGTACGCGCAGTACATGTTGAAGTCGCTCACAGCCTCACCACTGACTCCGGTGTGAAGTGCATGCGGCGATTCATATGCCGTCGAGGTTCTCCGGCCGAAATATATTCGGACAACGGCACCAATTTTCAAGGCGCCGAAAGACTACTAAATGAGCAGATCGAGCAGCTAGCCGTTACATTCACGGGTACCAACACGAAGTGGATCTTCAACTCTCCAGGACCACCCTACATGGGCGGAGCGTGGGAGCGGATGGTGCGCTCCATCAAAGCTGCAGTGGACGCAGCATACAATAACAACCGCAAGCTAGATGACGAGGCGCAGGAGACATTCATGGTGGAAGTTGAAGCGGTCGTCAACAGTCGTCCACTCACGTATCTACCGCTTACATCGGAGAAATACGAGCCGAAGGTGAAGCCGATAACTGAAGAAGAACTGGTCTTGATAGTTGGCGATGGGAGAAGGAATGAGTGGATAAGAGGTCGTGTAGTCCAAGCAATCAAGGGGGTGGACGGAAGAATACGGCAGGCTATGGTACAAACTGCGAGGTGGCTAGTGCGTAGGCCGGTGGTTAGATTGGCGGTCCTAAAGGTTGATGAGTTGAGTAAAACTGGACCTGGTGGCCTGTGTTTGATTTGTATTTGTATTTAAAATAATTCATCTGACAATTTAGTCTTAATGAATAAATTAGAGCTAATTTAACACAGACCTAATCCGATTTGCAAAACGTTCGGTTGGTTCATTGAACTCGAAAAACTCTTCGACAGCCGTAAACGCACGAATACACGCTGAGATTGGTTCGTTGTTCCCAAACATGGTTCGGTGAAAACTTGGTTGCAGTAGCGTTGTATTCCGAAGAGATCTGCTCGGCACACGAAAGTTCAACATCGCAAGCAGGTCGGGGGCATCAGTTTCACCATTCAACAGCTTAGCAATAAGCAACGATTGCTGTACTTTACGTCGGCATCTATTGGGATACGGCGGCTAATTGTCAGGATCACTCCACCGCAAGTTTCTCAGTGCCAGACGAATGAACCGTTTCTGAACCCGTTCGATCCTTAGGCACCACGTGACATGGTGAGGATGCTAAACGACGGACACATTTTCCAAAATTGGACGGACAAGTGCACAGTACAATGACTTCCAACAATGTGGATCCGAAAAATCCTTCGCAACTTTGGAAATAAAGCCCAACTGTCGCGTTGCTTTCGATATGAGCGCTGAACGGTGTAAATCAAAAGTCATTTTTGTGTCTAGTTGAACCCCTAGATCAGTCACACTGGTAACTCTGGTAAGAGTATCGCCGTCGATATGATAGTCAAACAAAATTGGATGTACCATGCGGTGAAACGTGATTATCTGACATTTTTCCACACTAATAGTCAGTTTGTTTCTCTGGCACCAATCGGCAAACAAAATCAACGAGTTTTGCAGAAGCCAACAATCTTCTTGTGTGCGCACCACAATGTACAGCTTTAAATCATCTGCATAGACCAGTTTGACCAGGGAGAATGTTGGCACTGGGAACACTGCTTGTGACGGTATAGTAGCGGCTCGGGCGAAATGTCAACGAAACTATCACAGTGACAGAACCGAAAGAGAGAGTGTGAAGATCTACAGAGAGAGAGTGTGAAGATCTACATTGTCTCGTTTATTGTAGATCATTCTATTGAAGTCAATCTAGTAAACGTGCTATCAGAAGCTAATAATCATACCGCTAAACCTATTATTGAAATTAGTTGTTCCTACCTAAAGTTTTATACAAATTCATGCAAATTGAAAAAGTGAAAAGTATTGTCTAGTACAAATGAATTGTCCTTAAAACTACACATGTACACCGATTTTTCTAAAGTTTGTTCCCAATGTTTGTTGGTCGAATATGTTCCACGGTACGATTTCTACATTATAACACAAATACCGTCGTTGTGATTTGCTACAAGAAATCGTACCGTGGGACATATTCGACCGACAAACATTGGGAACAATAGTAATAGGCTGCCACAGCAACCCACGGTTCGGTACACGGTCAACGGCTCCAACCATGATCTCGTCGATTACGATGAGGAACAGTAGCGGTGATAATATCCTTGCCTCACACCCGCGATTACCCGAATCGGGTCAGACAAAGCTCCGTTGTGCAACACTCTGCATGAGAAAGCCTCGTACTGCGCTTCGATGAGGTTGACGATCTTATCAGAGACTCCCTTGCGTCTCAGAGTGCCCCACAAGTGCTCGTGGTTTAGTCGGTCGAAAGCTTTTTCGCAGTCAATGAATACCAAGTACAGGGACTCTTGGAACTCATTGACCTGCTCCAAGATGATGCGGAGCGTGACAATATGGTCCACACAGGATCTTCCAGCACGGAATCCTGCCTGCTGTCGTCGGAGAGTCGCGTCGATCTTCTCCTGTATCCGATTGAGGATAGCATTACACAGAACTTTGAGAACAATACACAGTAACATGATGCCTCGCCAGTTGTCGCATACAGTTGGATCCCCCTTCTTGGGGACTTTCAAAGTGCTCAAACCAACGTTTCAACTGGTCAGTGGGGTCGGTGAGCAACTGTCCAGTCGCTTCATTTACGGGCATCCTTGGGTTCATCCTTGCCCCGCTCAGGCGTCGTGAAACATCATAGAGGAGGCGGATATCGCCGGTTACTGCAGCTTTCTCCCCTTCATCAGCCAGGGAGTCCACCCACGCTTGCTTGTCCCGTATACAGGAACGCTTAACTTCCTTCTCTAGAGCCGAATACCGCTGACGGGCCTCGTTCTTGGCTCCTCGGGTCCTTGCTCGCTCTGTCGCGACTTTTGCTTCTCTCCACTCCTCGATCTTCCTCCAGGCATTCTTGATGCTCGTCCACTGTTCTTCTACGCTGTCACCTTCCGGAATATTAGCTGCGCGAGCCTCGAGTTCTTCGACGAACGATCTCTTCACTGCTGGGTCTTCCAGTCGGCGTGTGTTGAATCACCGCCCGAGTCTCTCCTCCCACCGTTGAACCCGCGCAATGCGTAGGCGGATCTCGCCGACCAGGAAATGATGGTCAGACGCGATGTCAGCGCTGCGTTTATTCCGAACATCAAGCAGGCTCCGTCTCCATTTTCGGCTGAAGCAAATGTGGTCGATTTGGTTCTCTGTATATCCATCACGGGAGACCCATGTGACTTTATGCACTGGGCGATGGGGGAAGGGACCTCCGATCACCATGTCGTTGTTGCCACAAAACTCTGCAAGCAGCTCGCCATTCTCGCTCATATCTCCGAGACCATGGCGTCCCATAATGCGCTCATAGTCCGAGTTGTCGGAGCTGATCTTCGCATTGAAGTCGCCTGTGTAGATCTTGATATCACCTCTTGGAGTCTTATCCACGACAGCATTCAGTTGACTGTAGAAGTTATCTTTGTCCTGCAATTCGGCAGCATCGGTTGGCGCATAACATTAGATTATGGTAAGGTTTCGAACCCCTTGTTCGGAATCTGGAAACGATTATTCTCTTATTGATAGGTTCCCACTTGATGAGCGCAGCCTGTGCTTGGGCGCTAAGCAGAAAGCCAACTCTACGATGTCGCGGAGCGTTTTCACCTCGCATACCAGAATATAAAAGTACCTGTTCCGAAGGCAGCTTGTGTTCTCCAAAGTTCGGCCAGCGTACTTCACTAAGTCCCAGGATTTCTAGCTTCATACGGCGGGCCTCACTGGCGAGTTGTGCCAGTTTACCCTGTTGGGCTAGCGTCAGTACATTCCATGTTCCAATTCTTGTCCGTTACTTACCGCTAAAAGTCGTTGCCATAAAATCAGTTCGTAATCTTTCACTATAGGTTTCTGTAACAATTTGAAAGTTTCGCAGACAGGAGGTGGTTGGCCTAAGGTCTCCTATCCGCCGTGATGGGACTGCCATCTTGGGTATAGCTTTAGAGGAGAAGCATTTCGTATTCAGCCGCTGGATGTCAGTCAGACGCTATTTGAGCCGCCCCTAACATGGAGAACAGACGTTCGGGTTTTGTAAGCCACATCCTCCGAAAAGGATGCAGCTCGCCCTTCCATGTCAGCATACGACCAAAGTTCCCACCGGGGTTGGTTACCCGATCTTCCCTAAGGTTACTCGTACCCCAGCCGGCGCCGCGGGGAGGAAGGGATAGGAGTTACTGGGCTGGCTTTCAATTTAATTTGCTCGATCCAGCTGTGTCCAACAAAAATCAATCCCTTGAGTGCATTGGAGCGCTTTTGAGCAAATGCAAGAATGATTAAGAGTTAAGCTGGGCTTAGACAAGGCAAGTCATTGATTGAACTCAGCTGAATTCAATTGGCTTGAAAAGTTGAGCCTGGTTCAACTTTTTTTCAGTTCAAGTCAGTTAAATGACATAGTTTACACGTTCAAGTCAGTTGAATTCAACTGAGTTGCTGATAATGATTTTTTTCTGAATACTTGTTCTTGTTCCTTATTGTGTTCTTAACAGCTTGATTAGCTCAGAGAACTAACTAAATGAGAATTTAGGATAATGGTCTTGCTTGGGAGTTTTTTTTTAAAGATTGCTTGGAGTAGCACTTTTATGATTGAATAATGATTCAAAGGTACTTAGACAAGCATTGCTTTGACAGCATAGAGTGGCTGTATTAAGTATTCTAGGTCTTCTTTGTAAACCTGGCTAGCTCGTAAAATTAGCTTCACAGTAATGTTTTAGTATGGTAATGTTGCTGCTATTGCAATTAAGATGGAATTAACTTACAGAATTTTGGAGATGAAAGCGTTGTTTTTACTATTTCCCACCGGAGGAATCCGCCCGCGAATTAACTTTTGGTTAAGCAAAGCTTACGGAGCTGGGTCTCAAAATGTGCTCAAGGTAAAACAAATATAATGGGATTAAAAACAAGTGTTTCATATGTGAAATTCAGAGTGACCAGTGAACCGGGAAAACCGGAAAAAGCTGGTTTTTGAAGTCTTCGGTAAAATCTGGGGGGGGGGACGTGCTGTCAAATCAGCCTACTGATCATCTTGTATGAAACTGGTTCCAAACGTAAACAAACGCTGTAGGTTTCTTATGGCTTGTTTACATTTGGAACCAGTTATGCGAGGTAGGCGACGATTGTTCGTATTTGACAGCCAAATCCCCCCTTGGGGAAAATCCCATGAATTTAGTTGACCCATCTGGAAAAAGTTCTCTCTTCGAAAGCAATAAGATTTCAAAACCCTTGGACTGGTCTAGGTTTTCAGGATAACTACAGTCACTCTGAAGAACTATTAAGAGAATTTTAGATTTTTTTTTCCAAAGCAAATTTGAGCAGATTTTAGAATGAATTCTAGAGATAACATCAAGGTATTTCAGAGAATATTTTCTAGGGAGCTTTAGGAAAACCTCTAGGAGAGTTTTTACTAGATCTCCCAAGAGTGAAGAAGATTTCAGGATTCTGGAAAAATAGCAAGGAACGCGAATTTTGAGGGAAGAATTCTAAAGTAATTATGCGTAGATCTAAAGGGATAGTCCGAGTATAATTCCAAGCGCATTTCGAAATGAATTTCTAGAGAATGTTAATGAGCATTCCATGCAATTTTCAGAAGAATTTAGAGGAGAACTTCAAGATAATTATGAGCAAAATTTGAAGACAATTCTCGGCGGGAGAATTTCCCCTGCCAGATGGTGTTGGCAGAGAAGGAGGATTACAAGTTTTGCTCACAAAAGCTAATAGCTAATTTAAATTCAAGCTCCAGTGACTTCTTAGAAAGAGTTTATAATTCGAAGAAAGATCCAGCAAAGGTGCTGCTGGCTTAAAAATGACCCATTTATCCTTCGGCTTCATCGCTTTCAGTTTTGTGCTTAATTAAAATACCTAAACCGCGATAATTTCCAAAACCTCCGGGAGAAAAACGGGAAAATTGCTAATCGAGATTTGCTGGTCACCATGAAGATGATTTGGAGATTTGGATGAATTTATGCCCCTAGGGTAGAATGCGGATCCTTCCCGTTTTTTGGCAACACGAGATTTTTGTCTTTTTTCCATTCTTCATGGGTTAGAGGTCCGTGTGGTATTTCATGAAAAAATGTCCATAAAGCACTAATATATTCTGAGGAAAGTTATAGCTGATGGGGTTGTGTTGCCGAAACCGGTTAGGCATTGCATCTGGAATTTTGTTTTTTGAAAATTACTGGAAAATCAGGGAATATCAGGGAATTTTGTTTTGTTCGTTGAGTCGACACCCTGTAATGTCCTCTTCAATTGCAAAAAGTCAACATGCGATCGTCAACGGACGTGGACGATCGCGTCCGGGTTGTTTGCTGGCGCGCTTGGCATAGAACGCCACAGCGAATCACGAAGAGCTACTGATTCCGATCAGTAGCGGTGTGGCTTCTAACTCCTTTTCCGGTGAAAGGACGCTCATGTGGGCTGCAGCTCGCTGCTTGCGGTTGTGTACTGGAGAACAATGTTCAACGCCACGCGCCGAAAGCACTGCTGCTGGAGTTTCATATACATCCATGGAGTGTCATATACACATGGGACAATTATGCTCACTCTAAAATTATCTTAGTATTCTCAACAATTCTCGCGATAATTCGCTTGAATTTTTCTCCATAATTCTATTTGCAAGTTACCCTTTGGAAATTCACCCTTCGAATATTTTCAAGAATTTACTTGGATTTAATATCAGACTTGTCTTGGAAATCTAAACAAAATTATCTAGGATCTGCGCAGCATCCTCTTGAAATTCCCTTTAATTTCTCTTCAGAACTCATTTAGATTTTTTTCATAAATTCCGTCGAGATTCTTCTAAAAAAATTTCAAAGATTGCTCAAGGCTTTCAGCTACAGCAAAAAGCTGTTGACGCACTCAATTAATCAATAGATTGTTCCACATAGTTCGAGAAATTCCATAATATTAGGACGACCGTCTTATCGCGTCTTCCCCTACAAAACGTCAACAAAACCCTTGTTCTGTCACTAAATAACTACCTACGGCAACTAACCTGCATATTTCCGTTTCGTTCTCTCATTTCAGCGATCCCACCGCAGACTACGAAGCCCTGAGCCCGGCCATCTCGTCTCCCGGACCATCGGTCAGTGAACGTGGTGGTCTAAACTCACCTCCACGCTATGTTAAACCGATCCAGCAGCAACAACACATCCAGAAACCGGCACAGCAGAAAATCATTGTCCAACAGCAACCGCAACAGCAAACCCTTACCGTCCCCGCATCGGCTGCCACATCAACGGTAACCAAGAATGGCAAAGTATATCAAACGGTTAAAACCGTCGTTACCAGCAGTGGACAGCAGAACAGAAAGAACCCCACCAAGGTCATTGTCGAGAAGGTGACGCCGGAATACGACGGTCCCGGTGCCGGTATGGTCCTGAGCAAAGACCAACCGCACACGACTCACCTGGCCAACGGGAAGGAAGTCAAAATCTATCGTGTCGCTTCGCTTAAGAACGGTCAAACGGTAAATGTAGCTTCCGGTGCCAATGCCAACAAGAAAGTTACCCTGCAATTGAAGAACGGATCTACGAATACAATCACCGGCAAAACTGGTGGAACCGTTTTCCTAAACAATAAAAATGTAGTTTTAACTTCTTCGCCTGGAAACGGTCAGACCGGAGTACGCAAGATTATTCGTGTCCAACAGCAACAGCAGCAGAATGGTCGGTCGATCCTGGTTCCGGTTTCGATCCAGGATTTGCGTACTATCAAGATTGTGAGTTCAGCTAATCTTAAAACCAAATCCGCAAATATCAAGCTGGCAGCTGCTAACTTACTGCAGCAATCTAAGCAAGGATTAATTCAGAATAATGTCGTTCTGCCCAAGGAACAGCTGATGGTTGATGATAGCGATGCAACGCAGACTTCCGACAGCGAGAGTTTCGTTTTCGAGGACATTATGCAACAGAGCAGTTCGGTAATAGACCAGGTTGAGCGCCAGCAGAAACATCAGCAGCAGCAGCAACAACAGTTGGTCAGCGATTCGGATGCCGACATGGATCAGGATGACGATTTGGATGGGGATGACAACGAAAGCCTGTCCGGCGCCGGAAAGCAGACCGCTTCCGGGGGATACCAGAAACTGGTCCTTACGAACGAGGAAAAACGATTGTTGTCAAAGGAAGGAATCAGTCTGCCGTCGTGCTATCCGCTGACCAAGCACGAGGAACGCGAGCTGAAGCGGATTCGACGAAAGATTCGCAACAAGATTTCCGCCCAGGATTCGCGCAAGCGGAAGAAGGAATACGTCGACGGGCTGGAGGAACGGTGAGTTGGGATTTTTTTTAAGTGACTTATGCAATCTATTCTCTAAAAATTTCAAAATTCCACTGGATTGTTTCCTCTGATCGCGTTGTCTCCTTTTCCTCACCTATTTGTCTTATTTTTGCTTCGATTCTGTTACACAACAAACATTTATTTTTAAATCCCCCGTAGCAAATGTTCCCTCACTTTTCCTCTCTTATACCATTATTCTAATTCCTTCTTACCTCTTCCCGCTTCATTCGCAGAGTCAAACAGTGCACCGAGGAGAACCAGACGCTGCTGAAGCGTATCAAAATCCTCCAGAGCCAGAACCACGATCTCATGAGCCAGATGAAAAAGATCCAATCGTTGCTGACTAAAGGAACGGGCAAAACTACCCAACCGGCTACGTGTCTGATGGTGCTGCTGCTCAGTATGGCCCTGGTGGCCGTACCGAACCTCAAGTTGGGCGGTTCCCATCAGCAGCAGAACATCCAGGATTCGATCGAGATGGCCGAACTGTTGCAGGATGCCGCCAGCGAGAAGACGCAGGTTCCGACACAGGCCCAAAATCGGCGCTCGCTTCTGTTCGACACCAAGGAACAGCTCGGCGACGCACTGGTCGATGAGGAGATGAACTTCGATGAGATCATGTCGTTCAATGTCAATGCATTGATCGCCAGCGAGCATGATTATTCCTCCGAGGAGGAACCCCGGGTCAAGAAGCCGAAGACCCAATCCCTGGTGGAGTACGATGTGGACGATGAAATCTGGAACGGAAGCAGCAAGATGCGCATTAAGCTGGAAATCGACGAACCAGACAACGGATTGTTCAATCAGAAAGCGAAACTTTTCCAGGAAGCATTCGAACAGAAGGTGAACCAACGGAGTTCGGAATACAACATAAAGTCGGAGCATACGAGCGAAGTGATCGTCGATCGTGACCTGTTCGATGCTATGTCCAAGCACGGTTCGGCCGCGTTGTACACCAGTTTGAATCTCGACACATTCGTGAATGCGGCGTCGAAGGACGGTGGTGCTGGTATTGAACTGTTGGCCACCAACGGAGGTGCCTCGGCAACGGCAGGAAGCGTAGAAGAGGTAGGTAGAAAGCTGAATGCTTCTCAACAGATTCAGCAGCAGAATAACAAAAGGAAACTGCTCCTCTAAGAAGGTGGAGATCCTCTATTTGCATTCTACCTATATGTTAATTCTTTTTCATTGGGCTGTTATTTCTACATGTGTAAATAAGTTCTATTTAGTTAAGAACCTATACTGCCGGTGGACGCATAACTGATCCGTTTTCTGTGGAACTTCCATATAACATGGGACAGTTAGGTATCCACACCGGCAGTATACTGATTAACACAAGTTTAGAGGGCTCTAGACTATAATTTTACACATAGTGTAATCGTATTGCGAATGGAAAGCATTTGTGCTATTGGTCGTTTTATACCGTTTAGGTTTACGAAATGAAGGATACAAACATTACACATTTAGTATTGAGACGTACTGGTATAAGTTTTGAAATTTTCCACCTGTTTATTTCAGATTAGAAAAGAATATCTGTTAAATCCTTTCCTTGTTGCTTGTTCCAAACTATATATTGTTTAGATTCTAATACTATTATCATTGTGCAATTCGACTTTACTTTCCTTACTCTATAAGCACTAACACACTTGAAGCTTCTAGCCACTTCTAGTTGCTTGAAATATATTTTCCTTTAATTAAGAAATATCATCTAGCTACATGAACTATTCTTAATCCTGCAAAGGAAATGAACGCACGGGAAATTATCGTCATATTAAAGAAAGCAGAGTAAATAAGTTAAGTTACAGACAGCATCTCTTTTCTAACAGCAGTTAAAACTTAACACAACAACTGGTGGTAAAATACAAATCAATTCCTAGCTTATGCAGATTTCTATTGTTTTCCTCACTTCGAACAAGTGAGCACCGATTTAACTATCTACACCACACACACGTTTGTTAGATAAACTAATTGGGAACTTATTACAGCAGATTGTAAAATTTAGCCACAAGTGTCGTGGGAGACATAGATTCGTAATTTTTAAACAAATAGAAACCGAATAGATGTAATGTTATCGTACACTACACACTACCATTTAATATATATCGCTGTATATAAACAGTAGGTCGTACCGGTATCACTACTAAAACGGTATCCGAAAGCCTAAGGGTGCGCAGTAGAACTCCAAGCTTTGCTGACAAGTCACTTACATCCATTTCCTCATAATCGTCATGGAATTTCCCTTGGAAAAGATAGATTCAAAGATTGACACAGTGATATCTGATAGTGCATTCGATGTATCTAGCTTGATCGGCTCATCAACGGTATCCTGGGCACCTAAAGTTGTGCAATGGGCGAACGTTAAAGACTTCCATCCTGGGGCCTGCTTGCTTCAGTTTTAACCTGGGCCCACTTGCCGACTTGCTTAATTTCCTCACCGCCGCTATGAGCCCCTGGGTCTGCCTCTGCTGCGATGTCCTGCCGGGTTCCAATCCAGTGCTTGCTTGCAGATTTCGTTTCCGGCCGTTTGTAAAGTGTGGTCAATCCACTTCCATTTACGTTCTCGAATTTCAGTTGATATCGGCTTCTGATGATGGTGTACTCCACTGATATGTACTATGTTTCCGGACGTGTCTGTCAACTCAACATTTTGTGGTGAGTTCTTTTCGGGACGTGTCTGTCAATGACATATGCCAAGACATGTGAAAAGGTTTGCGCTGCAGCCTCAACGTCATCTGGATCAAGGATCAAGGATGTTCTCCCATACTATGCTAGACAATACATCTATGATGCTACGGTGGTCAGCTTTACGGAAGTCATAAGAAACCGTAGCAGGATAATCGTCGAGTTTGTCCTCAACAGTGACAATTAAAGCAGGGTGATGTGGAATTAGCTTAGTTAGTGCACAAGGAGCCGAGGAAATTAATGGAGCCCTATCCTGTGTGCTCAGGAAGCAGAGGTCCAAACTACGATCATTTTCGTTAACTACATGGTTAATTTGAAAAAGCGTCGCTGCGCTGTAGTTGTCGAGAAGGCTTATAGCTCCTGCGTGAAATATACAACTATCAGGATCTGTATACAGGAACCCGCTATGAGATGGACTCCACGAAACGGCTGGCAGATTGAAGTCACCAAAAATGAACATCTCATCAACTGGAGTGGCACTTTCGATAACTGTGAAAACTGACCGACAGTGAGTATCGATTAGTTCATTGTCCCGGACTCGATCAGGTGGAATGTACAGAACGCATAGAAATAGTGTGCGATCACCCAGATTGATGGCTGTCCAAACCTGCTCCACATAGTTCCATGAATCGTTCTCGATGGCCTTTGCCTCCAACCACGGACAGCTACAAGGACACCTCCACAAGTAGATTTACGGCTGTTGTTGGGATTCCGATCGCAACGAAAGACCTCGTAGTCAGGACCAAAGACTTGACTGGAAAGCGTTCGATAATCGAACCACGTTTCGCACAGAACAATTACATCGTAACAATAATCCGATACAGCTTGGCGGTACTCTTCAACATCAGAATTCATTCCACCGGCGTTTTGGTAGAAGATCACGACGTCCTGCTTGCGGCAAGGAATCGAACGACTGCTCTCCCTGGAAATCACAGATACATCAGGCAATAACTGACCATCATCAAGTCTCATTAGATACTCGCCATAGTGAGTGGGTTGGAAGACCAGCCCCCCCCCCCCCCCCCTCCACATTCGACAGCAGGTCCAGAACGACTATGATGAACGGAGGCTGCTGATGGCAGGACTGAGACGGAGGGCTTGGGGGCTTCCATGGGGCTTTCTGAAGGAGATCGAAGCAACTCGGTGAAATTATAATAATCCTAGTATGCTATAAATATCAGTACTGCACCAATAAAGTTAGTTTAGTCTCATGTTTCAACCCAACCGGTCGTTTTTTCGTCCCTGGAAAAAAAAACAACTGAAATTTTTTTCACGATGGAGAGATTGGGAATAATGAAACTCAACGGAGCGAACTACAGCGTCTGGAAAACCAAGGTTGAGTTCCTGCTAATTAGAGAAGACCTGTGGCAGTACATTACCGGTGACGGACCGGTGGACACCACGGCCAATCTGGCCACTGAAGCTACCAGGGCAGCGTGGAACAGCGGTGACCAAAAGGCGCGGGCGACGATCGGCCTCCTGCTAGAGGATAACCAGCTGAACCTAATCAAGGACTGCAAAACAGCGAAAGTGACCTGGGAGAAGCAGCGGGGACGAGAAGGCAACACTGACGTCCAAAGTGTCGATCCTCAAACGAATCTGCGAGAAGCGCTATTCCGACGAAGAAGACATCGAGCAGCACATTTTTGAAATGGAGGGTCTGTTCGAGAGGCTGACGCTGACTGGAGAGGAACTGAGCAAGAGTCTACAGGTAGCTATGGATCTGGTCAAATCCAAGGTGGTCAACGAGGTGGCAAACCGTTGCTCGAGCGGCGGACTGGACTCGGTGCTCAAGACCCACGTGAAGCGCTTCTGCAACTTTTGTGTCATTTTTGCCAACAACCGGGGCACAAGCAGAAGGATTGTCCATCTCTGGCCGAGAAGCGGACAAGCGAACGGAAAGTATCAGATGGCCAGCGTGATAAGCGAAACCAACCACGGGTGCGAGCAGCTCGCGAAGAAACCCCGAAGAAGGAGTATTCGTTCGCGACGAGAGGAACTGCAACGGTATCAAATTCATGGATCGTTGATTCCGGCGCAACGTAGCACATGTGTGTGGAGCGGGCAATTTTTGTTGAGCTGAAAAGGAATCATACGCATGACGTGATTTTGGCCGATGGTACTGCGACGAAGGCGGAAGGCATCGGTTCATGCCAGGTAACTATGCTGTCTCCGGAGGGTGAGCCATCAATAGTAAGGAGGTGCTGCTGGTACCGAATTTCGAATCGAGCTTGGTTTCCGTGAAGAAGCTGACGGCAAACGGAGTTACGGTCATTTTCAACGTCAACGGATGACGAATCTTGAAGGACAAGAAGGTGATTGCGGCAGCAACGATTTCTGGGGGACTGTACTCCCTGAAGGTACCCCAGGAAGCACTGGCCGTGAAGCACCATACGTCAAACTGTCAGCACACTTGGCACCGTGAAGCCGTCCGTGAGCTGGTGACCAAGGGTATGGCAACTGGAATCGAGATGGAAGAGTGCGGCTGCTGAGTCGCCTGTGAATGCTGTCTTGAGGGCAAGCTGACACGTCTTCCGTTCCCCAAGAAGTCGAAGCCAAAGTCCAAGCAACCATTGGACCTTATTCACACCGATGTGTGTGGACCCATGCGAACCGTGACGCCCGGTGGGTGTCGTTATTTTCTCACCATGATTGACGACTTCACCCGGTTTACCGTCGTATATTTCCTGAAGCAGAAGTTCGAGGTTTCCCAGCGTATTCAAGAGTACGTCAAGTTCGCCCAGACGGAATTTGGAAAAACCCCGAAGACCATCCGTTCCGACCAGGGAGGTGAATTTCGGAGTGACGTGTTGGATGCGTTCTGCCGAGCGCAGGGGATACGTCAGCAATTTACCATCGCCTACACTCCGCAGCAGAACGGGGTTGCGGAGCGGAAGAACCGCTCACTGGTGGAAATGGCGCGCTGCATGCTACTGGACTCCCGAATGCCGTTGAAATACTGGGCGGAAGTGGTTAACACTGCGAACTATCTACAAAACCGTTGAAGAAAACGCCGTACGAGCTGTGATATGGCACGAAGCCGGACATGAACCTCCTCCAGATGTTTGGTTCACCGGCGTACGTGTGGATCCCTGGAGAAAAGAGAAGCAAATTAGTAGCGAAATCTCGGAAGTTGCTGCTCGTTGGTTATTCCTCCCAACACAAGGCGTACCGATTCATGGATCCGAACAACGGCAAGCGGGACTGCAGGTTCCTGCCATTGGACGAGGTTTGAAGTGCCGAACCTCAGAAGGGAAGTATCGTTGATTATCCATTTAGACTCCTAGAGCAACCGAAAGCTGAGATCCCGGTTATTCCAGCAAATTTGAACGAGAGCGAGGACAAGCTGTTGTTAAGAGCTACTATTTATTACGTCTATCTTGGTTGGTGGTCGGATAAAGAATCAATCTCTAACTTATGACAGTCAGGCAAGGCCTACAACATCTAGGCCTACTACATCTCCCCCTTTTAGAAAATGTCATAGGAAGAGAGCCATCTTGGAATTCTTGATTCTCGTACAGAACGTCGAATAATGTCTCCAACTGCTTCAGATGACACGGGCTTTTGTGTGGACTGAAGTTCTCCATCTTGAGCAGCAGGTTCATGATCGATTATCGAAAAAGGATTTTCGCCAGACGTACTTGCCACTTGACCATCAGCTTCGAGTGATAGGGAACCAACAGGAATAGGGACATCGTGATTGAATGGCACTTCTGGATCCAACGGTACAGCTTCATCTTGAATTTCATCAAGCAGGAAAGCCATACTCACGGATCTGCTCGAGAACAGCGTAGAGACTTCGATCGTGGTCCTGCTTGGTGCGACCAGCGATGAGGATGTCGTCCAAATACGGCTTGACTCCAGGGATGCCGGCCACCATGCTGTCGATGATGCGCTGGAAAGCGCCGGGTGCCGACTTGACTCCGGGGGTAGTCGGTTATACTGGAACAGTCCACGATGCGTGTTGACCGTGAGTAGCTTTCGCGATTCCTCCTCGACCTCAACCTGTAGGTAAGCGTCAGACAAATCGAGATGAGTGAAGTAACGTGCTCCAGCTAGTTCCGCAAAGAGGTCGTCAGGATGAGGCAGTGGATGATGGTCACATTCTAGCGCGTTATTCAGCCCCGTCGAATAATCGCCACATACACGGACTGATACATTGTCCGACTTGCGTACGACGACTATTGGTGCTGCCCAGTCCGAGAATTGAACTGGAGAAATTATACCGTTTTGCTGGAGCCTCAAGTTCTGCGTCCACCTTGGCGAGTGCAGCGTACGCTACTGGTCGTTTCGGGCAATATGCAGGACGTGCGTCAAGCTTGAGGTACAACTTCACTTGCGCTTTTGTGCATCTACCCAGCGTGCTTCGAAAAACTTCCGGAAACTGTTGCTTGAGTTGATTGGTGAACTGATCAGAACGTGGGTGTACGACGTTGACCAAGCTGCTTATCGGCACAGACCACAAATCGAACAGATCCATAGTCTCGATTCCTAGAACGTTGAGTTCAGCGCTGCTTGAGATGAAAATGCGACCAGTCTTGGTAACATTCTTGATGGTGATCTCGGTCTGGAACTCAGCGAGAAGGTTGAGATTGCCACCAGAAGCTGTAACTGTAGATTCTTCCGTCGGTTGAGTGGGTGGCTGTCCGATGCTGATCCATGTTTCTTCTGAGATTATGGTGATGTCGGACGCCGAGTCGTGTTGAAGTTTGACTGCTACACCATTGAGCTCGACCGGGATGAACTTCCGCTTGCTTCCGATGTTGCGAACCGTGTAGATGCTTTTTGTCTTCACGTTCTCTTTGGATTTGGCCTGTTTGAACGGTTTCGACGGCGTATTCTTGTTGCTGTTGCAATAACCTACCTTGTGTCCTTGTTGCTTGCATCTGGAACAGGTGTGCGAAGCGAACGGACACTCACGAACATAGTGCTGGTCGCCACACTTCCAACATGGCGTTTTCGGCACTTTTTGGTTCTTTTTTGAGGCAGGATTATTCTGGTTGCGAGAAACAATGTTGACGTTGCGTGCTTCTTTGTTCTCCACCATCAATGTGTCCTGCTTGAGATTGGCCACGCGATGGCATTCTTCCACGAGGTTCTCCAGGGTTACCTTGCTGGTGGCTTCTCCCAATTCGTTGACTGCAGTTTCGTCGGCTTCCAATTTCGAGATCATCCTAGCTCGTAGATCCGCATCCGCGATTGGAGTCCACAGACGAAACGGAGAGCTTTGAATTGGTCCGGTGTGAGCTTGGACAGCTGAAACGCTTCACAGTGTTTATTCACCATGGCAGCATACGATGTGAAGTCATCCGCGTCACTTTTTGCATACTGGAGGCACTGGTAACGGGAATGAAAAACCGACTTCTGTCGACCGAACAGTTTCTTCAGTTTCGTGACGGTTTCGTCCAGGGTGAAGTCCCGGGGATGCTTGGGAAGAATGGTGTTGACGTACTTCTCGTGCAGAGGCGTGCTTAACTTGCGAAGAAGCAATCTCACACGAGTGGCGTCATCCAGGGATTGGCCGTCCTTTGTAAAGACATCCTCGTACCTCGCATACTAGCCATCGAAGAAAACTCCTCCGTCCGGATCGTACTGGAAATCCTGGATCCCGCTTGCCAAGGACTCAATAATCTTCTCACTGCCAGCAGTCGGATTTCCCCGATTTTCCAGGTTTTCAATCTGCTGCTGCTGCCTCGCAATGAGATTCGTTAGCTGCAGGATGGCGTTCCGAAGATCCTCGTCAGACATTTTCTTGCTTCGAGGTTCGAGGTGCTTCCAAAATTTTCCTCGTCGCCAATTGTTATATCCGTAACCAAGGCCAACAAGTAAAACAAGCTGTTGTTAAGAGCTACTATTTATTACGTCTATCTTGGTTGGTGGTCGGATAAAGAATCAATCTCTAACTTATGACAGTCAGGCAAGGCCTACTACATCTAGGCCTACTACACCGATCTACTCGGATTTGAGACCAGCTACGACAGAAGCGCAGGAGGAGCAAGACGTCGTCGGTGAAGTTAATGTACCAGTAGTCCGACGATTGGAGCGTACCACAAAGGGCATCCTGCCAAAACGGTACCAAGACACCGTGCGCAGCAGCGCAATATGTCGACGAGCCACGCACATTCGAAGAAGCAATTCCTAGCTCCGAGCGCAACAAGTGGGAGGCAGCCATGAAGGAAGAGATGAAGGCGCATGAAGAAAATTCCACATGGGATGTCGTCCGTTTGCCGCCAAACAAGAAGGCTATTGGCAGCAAATGGGTATTCACGAAGAAGATGGACGAGGGCCGAAACCTGATCCGCTATAAGGCAAGGCTGGTAGCGCAAGGATTCAATTCCAAGCCGGTAGGATTCCATAACGGGGTCAAGGACAACGTACTGCATCTACGAAAAAGTCTCTACGGTCTGAAGCAGGCTGGAAGGGTGTGGAATGGAAAAATCACCGAAGTCTTGAAGCAGCTGGGCTACGTGCCATCTGAAGCAGACCCATGCCTGTTCGTAAAAACCTGGAAGAAGAAGAAGACGTTCATATTACTATATGTGGACGTCATGCTGATTGTCACTAAAGGGTGATACGGTCAAAATTTGGTCAATATCAACTTGACGTATTTCTTTCAATTTTGCATTTAAAAAACCTGAACACCCCTCATTTTGAAGGTGTGTGTGTGTGTAGAATGTTGCTCCTATTTTGATTTTGGAATTCACTCTTCAGTTGTCAAAATGCCGTCCAAGCAAGAAGAGCAGCGTATCAAAATTTTGCTCGCGCATCGCGAAAATCCGAGCTACTCGCACGCAAAGTTGGCAAAATCGCTAAAAGTTGCCAAATCAACCGTTACAAATGTAATTAAAGTGTTTGGGGAACGTTTGTCGACAGCCAGGAAGTCTGGATCGGGGGGAAATCGAAAACCGGAAGCCGCTGAGACGACAAAGAGAGTTGCCGGTAGTTTCAAGCGAAACCCTAACCTCTCTCTCCGAGATGCCGCAAATAAGCTGGGTGTATCGTCTACAACCGTGCATCGAGCCAAAAAACGAGCCGGACTATCGACTTACAAGAAGGTAGTGACTCCAAATCGCGATGATAAACAAAATACGACGGCCAAAGCTCGATCCCGGAGGCTGTACACGACGATGCTGACGAAGTTTGACTGCGTGGTAATGGACGACGAAACCTACGTCAAAGCCGACTACAAGCAGCTTCCGGGACAGGAGTTTTACACGGCAAAAGGAAGGGGAAAGGTAGCAGATGTTTTCAAGCACATGAAACTGTCAAAGTTCGCAAAGAAATATCTGGTTTGGCAAGCCATCTGTATCTGTGGCTTGAAAAGCAGCATTTTCATAGCTTCCGGGACTGTCAACCAAGAAATTTATGTGAAAGAGTGTTTGAATAAACGTCTGCTGCCTTTCCTGAAGAAATACGGTTGTTCCGTACTGTTTTGGCCGGATTTGGCATCTTGCCATTACGGTAAAAAGGCCATGGAGTGGTACGCCGCCAACAACGTGCAGGTGGTTCCCAAGGACAAGAACCCTCCCAACACGCCAGAGCTCCGCCCAATTGAGAAATACTGGGCTATTGTCAAGCGGAACCTAAAGAAGACCAAAAAAACTGCTAAGGGCGAGCAGCAGTTCAAGGCAAACTGGCTTTCTGCGGCGAAGAAGGTGGACAAGGTGGCTGTACAAAATCTGATGGCAGGGGTCAAGCGTAAGGCCTGGTAATTCGGATTTGGAAAAGCGGAAGCCTAACTGAATATTTTTCCTGAATTTTATACTAATTGAACTTGAAAAAGAAATTTAATTTGATTTTTTAAATAAACGATTTCACCGATTTACACGCGTTTTCCCTTGACCAAATTTTGACCGTATCACCCTTTAACACAGAAGCGGAATACGAAGCCGTCCGGAAGCATTTAGCGGAGCACTTTACCATTACGTTTCTTGGAGACGTGCGACACTATTTGGGAATCCGAGTGACAAGATCCGGCGGACAGTTTTTCCTGAACCAACAAACCTACATCCAGAAGGTAGCCGAACGGTTCGGACAATCAAAAGCGAAGCGCTCGCCGATACCGATGGATCCCGGGTACCCGAATGTACAGCGAAGGACGAGGAGCCCATGCCCAGAAACGACGAGTTCCAGAGTCTGGTGGGTGCTCTTCTATACATCGCGGTCAACACGAGACCGGACATCGCCATAAGCGCCTCAATTCTGGGCCGCAAGGTGAGTCGACCAACGGAAGCAGACTGGACCGAAGCAAAACGGACGCTCCGGTATCTCCAGTCAACAGTGGATTGGAGCCTACGTCTAGGTTCATCCAGACCGCTGGAAGCATACGTCGATGCAGACTGGGTTGGTGACAAGACAGACCGGAAATCAAACACCGGTTTCGTCTTCTGTCTTGGAGGACCAATCAGTTGGGCAGCCCGAAAACAACCAAGCGGAGTACGTGGCGCTTTCCGAAGCCAGCCGCGAGCTGATGTGGCTGATGAAGCCACTGAAGGACGTCGGAGAACCAATTCTGGCGCCTGTAGTTGTACACGAAGGCAACCAAAGCTATATTGCAATGCTGAAATCTGTCGGCGGTAGCAACCGAACAAAGCACATCGACACTCGCTATAATTTTGTGAAGGAGTTGGTCAACAATAGTGGAATGGACGTTCGCTATTGCCCCAGTGAACAAATGGTTGCCGATGGTCTAACAAAACCATTGGCTCGCGTCAAGATGGAGAAGATGCGGCTGAAAATTGGTCTACAGCCCGCCGAGCTTGAGGAGGAGTAATCGAAGCAACTCACCGAGCTTGAGGAGGAGTGAAGCAGATCGAAGCAACTCGGTGAAATTATAATAATCCTAGTATGCTATAAATGTCAGTACAGCATCAATAAAGTTTAGTTTAGTCTCCTGTTTCAACCCAACCGGTCGTATTAACTCCCTCCTTTAAGACTTTCTACGGCGCTTTCCGGGTTCCCAGGATTGGGAGTTACAGAGGCATCATCACAATGACTAACATAGTCCGAACTGCTGAAAATTTGATCAGCATCAGGCAGTGAATAGGCCTGTAGAGGCAAGGTGGAAGACTCCTGATTCATATCCAGCCACAGGTCCAGGACGACTATGCTGAACGCTGGTAGGAATCGGCACGACGGGGCTTGAGGAACCAGGCTTCCAAAGAGCGGTCTATTGTGCGTCCCGGAGATGAATTAGGATTGTTCGAACAGTAAAGCGGATGTTGTGAATCAGCAGTATCAGAAGTGCTTCTCAGCTGGAAATAGCCGGCAGATGCTTGAGGCGTTGCACTGGAACACGGAAGCTGATCAGGAAAATTACTGTAACTAACGTATGCATACTTGCCTGAAAACGATGGTTGGGAGACCCCACCACCGAACTCGACCGCAGGTCCAGAACGACGCTGAAGGCAGGAAATAGAACGACTTTGATGGCGGGAAATAACTAGTGCGACTGGATCGAGGTCTCAACGCGGCATTCAATTCTGAATCAGCATACTGTAAGAGCAACTTCACGTAGTTTGGGAGCCAATCCGGCTTTGTACGATATGTAACTCATACGGTTGATGTCGGTTCCTTTTTTAACTAGCGGCACAATCTGATCATCGCACAATCGCACTGTACACAACCTTTGACCAGCTTCTCGATTGATTCCGATTTCACGCTAGGATGTATACGAGAAAGATACAGTCAAAACAGCTCGGTGGGTTCAGGGACAGTAAGGACCTCGGTAACGACATTGTCATCCGTTACTGCTTTATTACCACCTACAAGGTGTTTGCTGGTGAGCGAGCCTTCATCGCGGCTGAAGTGTGTTGGAGTTGTCAATGCGATTCGTTTCGACAGCTGAGCGATCTGCTGTCCTTGCTTAGTCATTTCCTTCCTAAGCTCAGCGTGTGCGATTTCCTGTTTCTCGGGGATAGAATTAATCGCACTACCAAACGACGCACATTTCATCAGCTTCGCGCACTCGTTGCACATCCAAAACAAGTTCGGGCCAGTGTGGACAATGTTCAGAAAAGCCTTGTTCAACTTTGTGCCGCCGTATTTCAGGTGAATCATCCTGTCGCACAAAGCCATGCAGGAGCCGGATTCTTCATCGCCTTTAGCTGGTTTAGCGCATTGGTCACAGGCGGAAGTCATGCTGACTCAGTTTGCACATCTAATTTAGAAACAGCGGTGGAGATGCTTTAATACGCAAGGAGGAGTTGGATTCTGGAGAGCGTCTGATATCGACAATCACCCATATTCTTGTTTTCGTTCGAACCGTATTTTCCATACAAAAATTCTTTTTTTTTTTGTATGGAAAATATGGTTCGAACGAAAACAAGAATATGGGTGAATAACTGCTGACAACAGAAAACACTAAAAGATGACCGATTGGATAACTTTTTCACTGTTTTCACAACACGGAATATGCTCCAAATAAACGATTATCATAACGAACTGCACTTCCCACTCGATTGTGACCAGTGCTGTTAATTTTCATATCATTCGATTGAAGATGAACCATTCTCGAACGAATTCTCGTCATGACCATAATTTGCTCATCGTCACTGTCAATTGAGTCACTTATTATTATTATTTGATATACGACAGTGGAGTATGGAAGAAACCCAGCAAAATGGTCCCGAACAGACAAGTCGACCCGATGTCGGATCAATGTAAGGCAAATCTAAGGTTGATGTCGACCCAATGTCGTGTTGTTGTCGGGTCAACATCGGGTTGGAGTTTGATAGAAGTCAGGTTGGTGTCGGGTTGGCTTAGCTTTTTCGTCGGAATGTCGACCACAGCTCCGTTTATGGGTAGGTTACACTCAATTGAATGATATCAAGCGTTTCTCAAATGAGAATGATCCATGCCTTCGTCAAATGACTAAGCAGCTGATATCACCCATTCGAAGGAGGAGGTCCCTTTTGATAGCGGATAGCTGCTTTTCTCATTTTCATCAAAAATATTCAATTGATTTTGAGAATTTACAGTACTGATTGTGAGGATGATTGCAAAACAATTTCAGAGAGAAGTTATAAGATTATTCTAGGGAATCCTCAGTGGAATATTCATCATTTGTTAGTTATAGAACGCCTAATCGTTAGTGTGGCACACTTGCCTAATTTCAGGTTATTGAACGCCTTAATAGACGGAAAGTCTCTGCCCAGGTGGAGTGCGTGGTGGTGGCCCATCAGTCCACTGCAACAGTGGACGATCCGCAGAAGAGGGCTGAAATAGTGAATGGAAAATCAGTTGAGAAAAATAGCGGCTCCAAACAGGGTGGTAAGCAGAGCGCTCCCCCGAAACCCCCGGACAAAACTGCCCCCAAGAGCAGCCCTGCCCGGAACAGGAACAAGATGAAGGGCGAGGCTCTCATCTTTAAGACGGGCGTCGAAATACGCGGAAGTCTTGAAGAAGATGAGAACGGACGAGCGTCTTGCGGAGATGGGCAGCAACGTGCAGAGCATCAGGCGCACTCGTACTGGCGAGATGCTCCTGGTGCTCAAGCGTGGCGCTAAAGACCAGGGACCAACTTACCAGAAACTGGCAAAGGAGGTCGTTGGTAATGGAGTGCAGGTGAAGTCGCTAGGCTCGACGATCACTATCCAGGTCAAGGACCTGGACGAAGTGACGGAGGCGACCGAGATAGTCACGGCGCTCAGGGAGCAGTGTCAAGTCGAGGTATCGCAAACAGCGATCACCTTGAGGAAGGGACTGTTTTCCACCCAAGTGGCTGCCGTCAAGCTCTCGGCAGCTGATGCCAGAAAGGCGGTAGCCACAGGGAGGGTGCTAGTGGACTGGTCGGTTTGCCCCGTGTGTATTCCCCGACCGGTTACAGCTTGCTTTAGGTGCTTCGGCGGAGTATATTTAAGTAGCTGTTATGCTCCGCCCAGGTGGTATGTCGAGCAGTTCTCGCAGATGGTCGACAGACTCACTGCGGTACTTGTCGGCCGAAGACCGGTGGTCATTGCGGGCGACTTTAACGCATGGGCGGTGGAGTGGGGCAGCCACCACACCAACCAGAGAGGATGCATCCTACTGGAGGCAATGGCCAAACTGGACGTTGTATTATCCAACACCGGCTCGGTCAGTACCTACAAAAGGAATGGTGCAGAATCCGTCATCGACGTGACATACTGCAGCCCGTGTTTGGAGGGCAACCTACACTGAAGGATCGATGAGGGTTACACCCATAGTGACCACGGTACAGTGTGGGGCCAGGTGAGAGGCGAGTGGCAGGAGGAAATCCTTCCTGCGCTCGAGGCTGGCAGACGTCGTTCTTCGAGGAAGAGGTCTTCGGCGAAGCACTGAGGTGGGAGCGAATAACCCCAGATCTGACGGGGGAAGAATTGGTAGCAGCGCTGACAAGGGCGTGCGATACAACCATGCCTAGGAGAGCCTATCTCAGGCATGGCCATAGACCGGTGTACTGGTGGAGCGAGTCGATTGCTATCCTCAGGGCGTCTTGCCTCCAGGCGAGAAGGAGGATGCAACGAGCTCGTACGATTGAATCTCGGGAGGAACGCCGTGTCGCTCTTCGAGCGGCTAAGGCGGCCCTCTATAAAGAGATCGCCAGACCAGCATGCACTAGCTCCAAATTCCCGGAGGACTGTACAAGATTCTGGAAAGCTACTTCCAGAATCGTGTGTTGACGTACGACACAGAAGATGGCGAAAAATGCGTTAGAGTCACCGCAGGAGTGCCACAAGGCTCCATCCAGGGCCCGGTGTTATGGAACGTCATGTACGATGGACTGTTGAGGATAAGATTCCCGGTAGGCGTGAAAATTGTAGGTTTTGCCGACGATGTCACGTTGGTAGTCTACGGGGAATCCCTCGAGGAGGTAGAGCTGACAGCGGCTCACTGCGTCAAGCTTGTGGAGGAATGGATGAGATACAGGAAACTGGAGCTTGCCCATCACAAGACGGAAGTGGTCGTAGTCAACAATTGCATGTCAGTACAGCATGCGATGTTGACAGTCAGCGGAAGCACAATTAGGTCTGAGCGCTATCTGAAACTCTTGGGGGTTATGCTCGATGATAAGCTCAGCTTCGGCTGCCACGTCGAGTACGCCTACGAGAGCGTCTACGGCTATGGGGGCATTATCCCGCATGGTGTCAAACAGCTCGGCAGTGAATGCCAGTAAGCGCAGGCTCATCGCTTGGGTCGTAGTATCTATCCTCAGATACGGCGGCCCTGCGTGGGCTGCGGTACTGGATATTGACTGCCACAGGAGGAAATTAGAGAGCACACACAGGCTAGTGTGCTTGAGGGTGGCCAGTGCATACCGCACTATCTCGAGAGAGGCCGTCTGTGTCATAGCAGGGATGATGCCAATCAGCCTTATCATTAAGGAGGACGTGGTGTGCTATGACGTGAGGACCGTTCGAGGGGTGCGCAACAACGCGCGAGCTGTGTCGACCGCGAGATGGCAATCGGAGTGGGAAAACTCCACAAAGGGGAGGTGGACTTACCGCTTGATACCTTCCGTATCAAGCTGGGTCAACAGGCGCCACGGGGATGTAAACTTCCACCTGACACAGTTCCTGTCAGGCCATGGCTGCTTTAGGAGCTACTTGTATAGGTTCGGACATGCAAGTACTCCCACCTGCCCCAGGTGTGCTGGTGTCGAGGAGACCGCCGAACACGTTGTGTTCGCCTGTCCACGCTTCGAGCCAGTATCGAGCGCTATGCTAGCGATATGCGGAGCGGATACCAGTCCGGATAACATCGTTCCTAAGATGTGTGGTACCACCGAGAACTGGAGCGCGGTGGTGACTGCGGTCACCCACATAGTTTCGGAACTACAACGACAGTGGCGAGCCGAGCAGCAGTTGCCTACTGCCCGGCTAGATTGATAGAGTATTGATAGAGAAGCGCCATAGCGCTACAGCGGCCCCTCCCACGAAGTAATGCCTTCGGGCGCTTCCAGGGAGGTCAAGGGTCAAGCGCACAGGGTAAGGTTTAGTGCGTCGGGAGTGAAATTATCCCATCCCCACACCCTGAGTTTCTTCTCATGTGTCTGTGAGCAGATTCCCCCTGTATAAAAAAAGGGTTTTTGAATGCCGCCTCATTTAATACATTTAACTTTTATGCTGAAGTTTTTAAAATTTTAATTAGATTGATAATACACAATAATCTGGTACGTCAACAATGCGGTCGTGTATCGGACCGTGGGTTCTGCCCCATCCTGCACGTATACATTTTTCAGGGAACAATTCTTTCAAAGTTATCACCAACTCTCAATGGCACATTTGTACATAAAATTCAGATTCATTAGCCATACCACCTACCTATCACCTGAAGCCCGCCCTTAGCACCCAACGACGCTTTCCAGCAAATCACACCCGGACAGCATGGAATCCGAAGCGAGCACAATTTTAGTGCCGGTCAGTTTCTCCACCATTTGACAGGCAGCTACCTCCGCGTAGCTGAGTCCTCCGATCACAAACACGAACATCGTTTTCACCTTCAACGGTAGCAGCTGGTTTACATCACCCTTGGCACTAGTTATAGAGAGCTCCCGGATCGTTTTGGGGGCGAAATTCCTTCCGGATAACTTCAACCGTTCGAGGTGACCGAACCGGTTGTTCAAATCCTCGAAGCTGGTTGCATTCAGAATCATGTGACCGAGCTGAGCAATCAGTGGGATGTAGTTACCGTTGAACACGTAGCTTGGGCACTGCTTCTTTCCGCTCCCGGCAGGACCCGTTGGACTGCTCGGGGACACCGGCGGTTGGTTGGTTTCATTCGTATCCGTCGGTAGCAGCTTCAGTTTGTTCGATTCGATTTGGAATGGCGTTTTGAGAATGGGAATCGAGATTTGCGAGAGAATTTTAGCTTTCGTTAGATTGGTTGTGTCCGGGAATAGCTTCGCTTGAAAAAGATTGTTGAACACGGTGAGATGCTGGTACCCGAAGGCATTCAAATAAGCGGTCATCAGTTTGGTCATGTCCTCACTTGTTAAGCCTATTGTCACGTGGTAGAGGCAGATTAGTCGTAGTGCGTTGTATTTGTGGGCGTCAGCCGCTAGTAATTCGTCGATGTAGGTCATAATCTGTTTGCGATTCGTGTTGGTCAGGATGCTCTCTTCGATAAGTTGAAGCTTTTCAAAATTTGCACCGATTTCCTCCATGATAGTTTCACAGAGCCGTAGGTGTTTGAAGAGTTCTTTCTTCTGGGCGGCTACCTTCGGTAGCTTGTTGGTAACGTAATCCTTCATCTCCGAGAGCTTCATGTCTTTCGAATACATCTTGCCTTCCAGACCGAGAGCTTTCGCTTGGGAACTCAAAAGACCGATTACTTCGGAAAAATGACGATAGCAATTCTCTTGATAGATCAAGTCCTGTGCTCCGTTCATCCTGAGGCTAGTAGTTTCCTGCTTCGGTTTAGCCTTACATTCGCCTTGAAAAATGGTGAGCTTTCCATTCTGGATTTTATTCCCAGCCGAATCAATGGTCAACGAACCGGAATTGTATTTGTGAATTTCGAGCAGCAAGCCTGAATAGATTACCGGAGTCAACAGACAAGATGGATAGTCTTTATCCCTGTCTACTATGAGCACTGCACTGAAGTCTGGAACATCCTTCGCTTCGCCACTTTTCACCTTCCGATCTGTTTCGATTTTATGCATCATTTGCAGAACTTTCTCGGCGTTTTCGCCCAAGCTGAATACGAGGTTGGGCCTTCCCATGACCATGTTAAATATTCTCATGCTTTGAGCTATTGATCCCAGCAACGAGCCATCCTTTCGCACGTAAACGTCAGCAAAAACGTTCGGTATCTCCAAACTTAGCAATCCCTGATCCAGTGCTATGAAATCCCACTGGAAACTGTACAGATCCACCGTACCGTACAGTCCTTCTTCTTCCAACAGTTGCTCAAAGCTTGCAAGCACCTGTGGAAATACCACCACATGATACTGGCGGCTGCTGCGGTCCGATTCCGCTGCCAGCATGCTGCTGGAAGTTTGGCTCTGATAGCTACTGATTTGATCCAGGGCACTCTTGAATGTCAACAGGTTGCTGGTGAGAAAGTACAGGAACTGCTTCCGCTTGGGAGGGGCATTTTTCGGGTCAAATTTGTAGATCTTGTCGATTCCTTTCTTCCTGGAACGGTTTATGGCAATGTGCAGAATTATGTTCATGAAATTAAAGTCAGCGCTGAAGTACCTCAACCAGGAAGCTCCAACGACGTTCTCGAGAGGCTTGATAAGTGCAGGTTCGATAATGAGATCCTTGTCCAGTGGGATGGAGTACAAAATGTTTTGCAGCTTTTCCTGGGCAATTTGCCGGAAACCAAGAAGCTTTTTATTTAGCGTTGAATCCATCTCGAAGAATTTTTAGCGCAATTCAACTGTGGATTGTTTGGTAGATTGCATTATTGGAATGGAGGAATTTAAATCGATGATTGTGATGATTCAGTGACAATGTTTACTTCGTTCTGTTGTGTGGTGTGCAGCTATATGCAAGCGTAAAATACCGGTTAGGATGTGTATTAGTGGAACTGAATGACAGTAGGAAACGTTGTTAAAATAGTTCGAACTGTCATTTGACGGTCGTCTTTAGTTTAAATTGGTAAAGGGCTTATTATTTTATCTTTTTTTTTTTTTTCCTTTTCTCATAATATTATTATTCACTATTATAAAAGTCCTGTACACTGAGAGCAGTTCCGCAGTTGATAATACTATATTGAAGGGTTGTTTCAAATTCATAACTCCACTAAATTTGTACATATGATATTCTGTTTAAAATTTGTATTTTACCATGACAATCATGTCAATGCATTGGAGTTAAAACTACTATGCTTCATAGTGCTCTCGACAATAATTCCAGGTTAATAGTTTAACCACGGGACTGACATCAAATGTTTCTACTGAAGAGCCTAAATTTAAATAAATTCAGGCTCTTTAGTTTCCACAATGGGATTTCACAAATTTGACAATACCCTCTTAACTGGTCTATAAATGTATAGCCCATAACAAACTTGAACAACACATACGAACTTTGCGATTGTATTGCATATTTTACAGCTGTCGCTTACACCACATGTGTTTGTTTTGCGTTGGCTATAAGTGTGTGCTGCTTAGCAGCCCCTTGAGTTTAACCTTGCGTTTAAAACCAGCACGTTTTTAAAGTAAACTTAACTGTGGAGTATGGTATATTTTAAAACAAGGGTTGTTTTTCTTGGTATAGAAAAAAAAAGTTTTTTATTTCGTTGTTATCATTAAATTCACGATTCATAATTTATTGTTTATTTTTTTTATTGAATTTGAAACTTATTTATTCAACTATGCTTATACAATATGACATTTAATTGATTACATAAATAAGTTCTTAAGTCTAATGTAACTGTTTCCCTGAACATTGTACATATGAATATTGGAGATCCATCAAATAGGTCAACATGGAGTATATGAAATAGTGACGTGCAGCTGTTCACTTTAAAGGATGCAAAGTGGGTTGAATATTCTTGGATCTGCCATTGTTGACATGCAACATTTAAAGCATTGTTTGAGATTAGTAAATCTTTGATTTGATGTAGTTCTATGACATTCATATTTATGGTTGATTTTGTTAAAAATTTACCAACTCTATACTCTGTAGGTTACAGTGCATGAAGCATTAAAGCACAGACAAACAGACATAACTCTTAGAAGAAAATTCTTCAAGAAATATCTTCAAGCGTGTTTTGCATGCGCACTAGCACCACAAACGAAGTGACAGACGGAGCGGCTCGAAAACTTTGGTGACTAACCTGCTATTTCAATTTTTCAGTGTACAACATGGCAACACCACTACTACTGGATTGTACCACATGGCAATACTACTACTAGATTGTACTAGCATTTTCACCAAATGTATTAGAATGTTTTGTTTCTATCTCTTTCACTCTACTCAAAACTGAAATGCATAAAAAAAAGACAAAATGATACACTCTTTGCACACTGTCAAAGAATCATTATACACAAAATCAACTTTGTTCAAATCAAAACAAAAAAAACTAACCCATCTGGTGGATGATGGCACAAGCTTCCAAGAAAATTCTAAAACAGTGAACCACATTATTTTAATGGATTTCTTCGCCAGTTAGTCGTCTGTCACTTCGTTTGTGCTAGCACCATAGAGGTAACTCTAAGACCAGAAGGTTCCGAAGAAACGAGTTCAACTTTTTGGCTCAGCTCTGGTACTATCTTCGGTCCCAAGCTAATCGATTCACCTCTCGAAACATAGGAAAATCCACTAACCCCTCATTTTATCTGTCAAACTTTCATGGAAAATCAAAACAAACATAGTGTAGTACTGGAATTTATACTAGAATGGGATACTTTAGTCGATTTGCTTGGGACCAATAGGCTAGTCAAGTAGTGAGCCAATTTAAAATCGTTAGTTTCGTATTGATTGTTGCTAGCACCAAAGATGAATACTGATGAATCTGTCGGAAGAAAAATTTTCAATTTTAGTGTCCTCTTTTACGGTCCCTTTCATCCAATGAATACCCCCAGTATGCAAGGTAATATTGTGGTTTTGCTGCCCCCTCGGTAGAGATGAAATTTTGCGCGCTTTTTTTATCAAAACAATCACACCAAAATCAGAGATGTCGCATTTTTTAATAACTCGATTAACAACTAATCGAATATTTTTTGTTCGCTGTGCTGTCCTGTTTCCACTAATAAGAGTGCAAAACTTGTTTTAAACGATCGGTTATGATCCTCTGCAGAAATTAATGCTTATATCGGCATGATATAACCGATTACAAATATTTTACTGTTCGGTTCGTTAATCGATTAATCGATTATTCGAATGAAAATCAGCCATCACTAGATGAATGTGAAACGTCATTTCAAATATAAGGACCGTACATAAATAATGATACAATTTGAAAGGGACCGGGGCTAATCACAAATTACTTCCCCACGGTAACTGAAATAAACACGAGTGTTCACCGGTTGCTAGCACCATCTATCATCCACATTCCCAAGCATTGATGTGCAACTAGAGCATCCCTCGTTCATGCCATTTTTTCACCAGTTGCTTTTCCCTCGTTCTGTCAACGCGTCAGCTGTGTTGAATAAAAACAAAACAGATGGAAGTCAGTGATGTCGGTTCTCGGTTCCGACCTTTAGGTGTGTACTGCGTGATGTACTCTGGGAGGTTTTCATGGTAGGCCCCGTACATGAAGCAGCAGATACGACAGTGGTAGTTTCCGGCAGATCGCATCCGAGTATGGTGTGTCGTACTTCTCTGGTCGTGTCACGCCCTCGGATTCCATACACGAACCTCACCGACGACTTGAAGCATCGATGCAACTGAGCATTGAGCGCGGTGGACAGTCCTGGGTAGTACACGACGTCGCAGTATGCGAAGAACGGCATCACCACAGCTTGGACGAGCTTCATACGAATCTGTCTGGAAAGCACTTCACGAAGCATACGAAGAGTATTGTAGATTTTTTGGTGGCTTCGTTTATCTGGTCGGTCCATTTTAGGTTAAAGTCCATAATGAGACCAAGATTGGTAACTTTGTTCGACAAAGTAATGGTTTCATCACAGAAGCGGATGTCATTTTGAGGGATTATGGCCCCATCTCTACAAAAGACTATAGCTTGCGTCTTCTTCTCAGTGGCCCAACGTTCGATAGCGAGGAGATCCTGGTTGATTGCTTCGATGAACCTGTTAGTTTCGCTTGCGGGGCCTGATTTGATTTAGATTTGGAGGTCGTCCGCATAGAGGTGATACTCGCATTTTAGCACACCAGGCAGGCTGCTGATGTATAGGCTAAACAGCAGAGCGCTCAGACAGGATCCTTGTGACGTACCGTCGGTGAGATTCCGGGGATTCGAGGGAGTACCACCCAGGTCTACAACCTGGCTTCGTTGCTCCAGGAAAGATGAAATCAAAATACACGCGGAGTTTGAAAACCCGAATTCCCTCCTCAGCATCGTTTCAAGTAGACCATGTCTGACACAGTTGAATGCCAACGAAAAGTCGACAAAAACCATTACTGTGCACCTGTTATCGTCAAAGTTGTTGAGGATATCGTGAGCAACCTTGACTAGAGCAGTCATGGGGTCGTGGTACTGTGGTTTTTCCTGTATCCTGACTGGTGTTTGGCAAGACGAGCGGGTGTGGATACATCGAGATGATCCGTTATTTGCGACAGTAGAATCTTCTCCAGTACCTTAGACAGCGCAGGTAGGACACTAATGGGCCTGAAGTCCTTCGGTGAAGTAGGGTTCGATGATTTCGGCACAGACAAACAGACATAACACATTGAACATTTCTCATTGTAAAACATCGTCGCCAAAACATATCCGCCATCTGTTGAGTACACTGTGGTGGGTAGTACGCTGAACAGATGGTGGTAGTGTGAAAACGTCAAACGCAAGGGAATTGACTATGCGCGACACAGGTGGTGGTGCTACCAACTAACATACTTTTAAATTGACCGATAAATGCTTGTTCGATGAACATCTTGCGAGTATTATGTCTGTTTGTCTGTGATTTCGGTATCGGGGTAACGATGGCCTTTTTCCAGACGGAGGGGAAAGTTTGAGCATCGATAATCGCATTGAACAGGTGAGTCAGGAGGGGGAGGATAAACGGGCAGAGCAGCTTGATGAATGAGATGGGGATTTCATCCGTCCCTTTCGCGTTGGTCCCAAGCTCGTAAATTTTCCTGGTGACTTCGTTGACGTTAGTGCGCCTGAACTGGAATTGGCCGTCGGCCACATTTGCGGGTGGTCGATCGGATTCTACGTTCGCTTGCGAAGGTACAGCCCTATGCTGTAACATGTGATGGCCTTCAGCAAAGATCTGATTTAGTCGGTCAGCATCAAATTCCTCCATGGCCGCATTCTTCTTTGCATTGTTATGTATGCCCTCTCTCCTCAGGTTGCACTACAGCCAACAATCAATACGAAACTAACGATTTTAAATTGGCTCACCACTTTAGTAGCCTATTGGTCCCAAGCAAACGATTAACGTACCCTATTCTAGTTGAAATTCTATTACTACACTATGTTTGTTTTGATTCGCTATGAAAGTTTGACAGATAACATCAGGGGTGTGTGGATTCATGCAGAACATGCAGGGGTGAGTGAAATAGCTTGGGACTGCTTGGGACCGTTGTTCTGGTACTGAGTGAGCCAAAAATAATAATGATTTTCTTCGGGACCCAGTGGTCTTAGAGTTACCTCTATGCTACAGCTGCTTAGCCAGGAAGATCCATGCCAAACTGCGAATCAGCATACCTTTTCTTAGCAGCACCAATTAGGGTGCCGGCCCTACTTTTTTTGGAGATGTAGTCTCGCCATTGAGCATCTCCTCTGACACGATTCAGATTTCGCACATAGAGAGAATAGGCTAGGTCCCGTAAGGTGATTGCAGCTTGGATTTCGTTCGTTATCCATGGCGTGCGTTTGTCACGAACACTAATTATCCGCTCTTTAGACTTTTTTTTTTAGGGATTTATTTTGTTTGTTTAGTGTGCTTATTCTTTTGTTGGAAACAAGTTTTTGGTAATGTATTACTAATTAGTGACCTTTCTACCACTGCTCATCACTTTAATGTGTGTACAGCAAAAAAAAATAATATGTATCAATCAATGAAATTCATGGTGAAGTATTGAACATCAATAACTGGTAAAAGGGGTAAAAGTTGATAGAATATTACAGTCATCAACACGATTTCTTCTAGAATTCTGTGTTAATCGTACAGCGTAATATTAGGAACGGAATGACTAATGTGATGTAATATTCAACAACTTTTTTTCTGTATTCGTCAGATGTGGTATGTGTCTCCAGTGGGATGCCTTGACCATTTATCATTTTCAAGAGCTAACATCTACTAACTAGACGTGAAAAAGAACTGGCATCACTGATAAGTTCGAAATTTGGTGGCTTGCTCAATGCTTCAGTGGCGCCACCATGACAAATGCAAGCACATTCCCAACTAAAACATTATTTACGATGAATGTGATTGTGAGTGTTGTGTCTGTTTGTCTGTGATAATACGTTAAATAGCCAGAAAAAATAAAAAAAAAATCAAAATTTCATTATTTCCTCTGCGACATGAGCGGTGAATGGCACTTGCAATGACATGTAATTGTCTCGAAAGAAATTCCAACAGCATTGTTTTGGATGTTTTATATTTTTTCACATTCTTATGATAATAACCTTCGAGATAGTGCAGAAATATGCTCAATATGTGTAACTATTTATGAAAAATAATATTGCTAACTATGTAACAGCGCTAGTACAATCATGTCTGTCGATGGCATTAGAGCTAGTTTATTTTTTGGGGAGGTGCACAACTAGACATGAATAGCAGCAGAAACTATACGCAGACTGCAACGCAGATTAATTAGAAAAGTTCTTTCACTAATTACAAATCATACATTTGGAATTTGTTCAACTTGCTACTATTGTTATATTGGCCTACAAGCTTCATAATCACATTTCCTACGGAGTAACGCTATCACCGACCAGTCACCCATCAGTGACTAGACTTTCCCGTCATGCCAGGCACTCTATATAGGAACTCTCCATCGTCGTCGTAGAAGCAATCGTCCAACTGGTAGGTTGCACCCTTCTTGTATAACTTTCGAGGAATTTGAATGCTTTCCCTGATATCTGGATGCACACTGCTTGGTGTGTTGCTCGCATCGAAAGAAATCAATTCCGATTCGTATTTCTTCACATCAATGAGATTATCGCGGCTTGAAAACACGGAGGACGTATCCGACTCGTCGCTGTCTTCTGCCGCTGTTGACACACCAAGTTCCCGCTTTACCTGTCGAAGTGTCTTCGGATATCGATCGGATACGTCCTTCATCACAAACATGTCCTGATTTGGTGCTTTGGCTGGAATCTCGGGAATCTCATCATACGCTCCTTCCATCTTACCAATCCGTTTTACATCCGTCTGTTCCGAAGCTTGGGCATACTTCTTGCAACTGGTGATAATTCGCGAAAACTCCCCGTCTTCCGGAACTTGCTGTCGTATTTCGTAAAGTCGCTTATGTTCCACTTTCGGCTTCTGAACCTCCTGGAAGTTTCGATGAACAAACTTGTTCAAGTGCTCTGCAAATCCACCGTCAATGTTCTTGATTCTTCCAGATTTAAAAAGCTCCCAATTTTCCTGAACCGTTTCGTCGTGCTTCTGGACCCTGTTGGCATCCCGTGGAATCCATTTGGCCTTGATAATTTTCACGATAGTATAACGATCCGCCGGAAAGCTCTCCACCAGCTTATCGATGCTCCATTCTTCCGGGTCGAAGTTATGCAAGTAGCGTATCTGTTCCTTCTCGGACCAGGTCAGAAAATTAAGCTGCTTCGTTTTGAAATACTTGTTCCCAACAATCCAACTTTGCAGTCTTTCCCGGTAGTGCTGGGCTTCCTGTTCGTACTGTTTGTGGGATTTGTGAACCTGGCTGAAGTCGGCCTCCTCCAGCTGTTCCAAATCTTCCAGTTTGGTATGCAGCTGATCCTTGTTCAGCAGGGCCATCCGTCGATCGACACCGGGATTGCGAGCGCGCCGGGCATAGTTTCGAGCTAGTGATTTCTGCTTGCTATATGCGAGTTTGAGAATTGTTCGTAACATTTTGAATTGCTATGATATTTTGTTGGTAAGAAACTTTGACGCAGTGTCTGGAGAAAAAAAAATACGATATGAATAAATAAATAATGATTCTAGTTAGCACGCGCGTTTGTTTTGACTGGGTAAATAGAATGCACGGCAACACAAAACAGTACCTGCTGGAACTGAAGTATAATAATGGTTTATAGCGAATCATTTGTCATTTCACGTATGGGAGCAATAAAATTGATAGGTCCATCTTCGGCAGATTCAAATGGCGTTGACGGCACCGCCGAGAAATCGTCTCTTGTAGCAAAGATTGACAATTTCTTATGGGAATTTTTCAGTGGAGTGAAAGGATAGTACGAAGTCCGCCATGTTTCATGCACAGTCTGACGTTTGTTCATGGATTTTACCATTGGAGTAAAGAGCTACAGAGCCGCCGTCAACGCCAATACGCCCTTTACAAAGATAGATAGTTGATTAGAGAAAATTGGCTGCATTCTGCGAGTTATATTAGGTCAGGTACACTCAAATATATAACTAAACACTGATATATTACAATTTATTCATTTTATGATTATGATTTTTGATTTTTTGATTTTGCGAGACAGAAGGGGGTCTTATGAAGGCCAGATCTCAAGTCTCAAGGCCAAATTCCAGAACTTGAGTGGATCATGGTTCTCACGTCAGACTATAATGTCTAAAATGAACCACATGCCCCAACCAACCCCTAGAACGGCTCCCATACACTCTCCATGCTGAATCGTGAGTCCCCCCTTTTCCCATACCATTACATGCAAAATAATAACCCGATGCAGGTCAATTGAATATGCCTAATTGAATTAGTTGCAATGATAGTGTTAACAGTAATGACAGTATAATATAGTAATTTAATAAAATGAATATTTACCTGTTAATAATGATCGAGGTTGGTGAAAATATTTAAAATAAATAAATTCATTCTTACCTTTTTATGGTTGTTTGATTATTAATTGCTATTATTACCTGCTTAGAGTTGGCTCCTTTAAAATACTGTGTAGAATTTACCTCATTATTCCTCAGTTCTATCGATTTGTGATAGAACCACGCTCAGCATATTATCCTGTAGTACGACTTGGGCATGCACCATGCAAGTAAGTCATCTCTCGTCAAAATGATGGGATATGGGGTGATGATGAAGGGATATAGAAAACGAATAAAAGAACAGAAAGAAAGGTATTAGTATTGGTTACATTAACCACCCCCCCCCCCCCACACACACACACACACAACGAAAAAGAAACATAGATGCACAGACAAACAGAAATAACACATTTAATATTTTTCTCCACAAAACATAGTCACTAAAACACTACCGCCATCTGTTGAGTATCATGTGATGGATAGTACGCTGAACAGATGGCGCTAGTGTGCAAACGTCAAACGCAAGGGAACCGACCGTGCGCGCCACAGGTGGCGGCACCACCAACCAAAAACACCCGAATTGACCGTCAAATGCGTATTCGATGAACAACCTGTCCAACCGAGTGTTATGTCTGTTTGTCTGTGATAGATGGGTTATTAGGAAAGTACAACTACATTATAACTATTAGTGCAATGGATGAACGTTAGTTTCGGGGTCATGTTAGTGTTAGAGTTTTGTTAGTATTGACCCGTATTCAGCCCTGTCGGCCCCTCGAACACTAGTCACAGGCAGTTGTTGTTAGGACATGCGACACTGTCACCACAAACGAAGTGACAGACGACTTTCTCCGAAGAAAATAATTAAAATAATGTGGTTCTCAGTAATAGAATTTTAGTCCACCTTCCGCCCCTCACCGCCAGGTTCGTTAGTATTTTTGTTTTGAATTAATTCAAGTTGGTTTTGTGTGCAATGATCTGGCAACTCGCGTTCTCGCTCGCGTTGACGGGGAGCTGTTTTCTCACTCATCGAAGGAAACTTTGATTAGAGTGAGAAAGTAAGGAACAGTCAGCGCGGGAACCGTGTGCGTTACTATAGGTGCGGCAGAAGGAATGTAGTCGACACTTTCGTTCTCACGGTGTTCTTACGCATGATCCAACGTTTCGTCACACTAGATTATGCATAAGAACGTCGTGATAATGAAAGTCGGTTTCAGGTGCATTATTTGTGTCAGTGATTGCTGACGTTTATCGTACGCACACTACGTCACGTATACGTATACGCAAAATGTTTTCATCGGGAGAAAAAAAAACTTCATAGCGGAAAATTTTCCCCATGAAAACAAATCACTGACACAATCATACTTTAGCAATCTCTATACCACCAGTCCAAACACTAGAAGTTTTGGAAGGTTCTCCCTCAGTACCTGCAAGCAACGTGATACCAGCTGACATTCGCTTCATATGTGAAATCCGGAACATTTTCTCACTTTTGAGCATCAACGTCAACCCGGTTTCGAATCGCATTCCCACTGAGGTGGCACCGTTGGCAGTAATCTACTGAGCCGTGGGAAAGACCTGACTAGCGCTGGAAAATTCGCCGTCTGAGGAAGGTCGCCATTAAAATTAAATCAACCTAATTTTCTTCGCTGTAACGTACTCCGTATCAGACTCGCTGAGGGACCGTTTTCGTGGGACGGGTTTCGACCCAAAAAGCTTCAATTAGCTTTACAAAAGATTTCTGTAAGGCGTCTTGGGACGCACGATTTCCTGTCCCACCGAGGCATCCGTTAGCGTGTCCGTGTCGGAACGGATGACCTCTTTGATCGACTGCACTTCTACCATCGATTTTTGTTTAACTTCACACGGTTGACGATCCGGAGGAGGATGCTTCGTCTTCATTGTCCGAAGAAGTCGACGATTTGATCTTTTCCGAGCTGAGCTTCTCGAGCCTTACGACCGGTTTGGCTCGAAGCAATTTTTCGACGGAAGTTCCTCGTGGCAGTGGAATCTCAAGTGGAATCTTCTTGACCAGTTCCTCCAGACTGATTTATTCCCCATTTGAAGAAACGAGCAAGGAAGAACTAGACAAAGACGTGGACAGCCGTCGCTTCGACGTTGGTTTCTTTCGTTTAGAAACCAGATCGAAATCGCTGTCGTCACTGTCTATTGTGGTTTGTCTTTTCGGTCTTTTCGGTCTCGGAGTATTTCACCTTACCCACCAGCACTACGTGCTTATCGCACCACGACTGGAACGTATCGACGTAATGCGACAGGCACGGAAGCACTTCTTCGCGCAACACAAAACGTTCGCATACCGTTTCTTGCAGATGTAACACTTTTGTCCTCGCATACGAGCTTCCTCATTTCTTAAGTCCTTCTCCATGTATCCGAAGATTCCCTCCTCGTCTCCAGGTAACAAGATACACGTAGCAGGTATAATCCCCCTTATTCTGCGAGTCACGTGACTCTCTGTCACCGGTGAGGTGACAATTGTCACCTCGTGTGAGGTGACTCTCCATGTAAATCAAATGGAGAGTCACCTCACACGAGGTGACTATTGTCACCTCACCGGTGAGAGAGAGTCACGTGACTCGCAGAATAAGAGAGAATGACTAGTTTTTTCACGTCTAGTAGACCGGTCCAGAATAGAGCATCGTACCGCAATCATGCTCAAACGCTTGACATACAGCATATTTAGCCGTAATAAATTAAAAAAAAAAATCGGTTCCATCTGATCCTCCTTCATTCTCACCTCCAGCACGTGATTCGATGGATCTCGACATGATTTTGGAGTAAATTTTCCTCTTTCAAATCGCCCTCGTCGAGAGCTTCCGGTTCCGCTACGGAGGAGCAAATGCATACCGAGTATGGCCGCAAAAAAAAATATAATTAAATAACGAAATTACAATGATTTTTACGGTTGAATTTTGGGCACATTAAAAATTTATTGTTAAATTATTGGACGGGAGAAAAAATAAATTTCGTTTTTAACGAAACAATTATCAATGAAAATTAATTTGATGAGATCAAATTTGTTCGAGAAAAATCATTTCTTTTATTGTTAGGATGCTTAACAACCCCCCTTTTTTACTGTACATTTCTCATATACCACGATTTTCGTTGTGATTTTATGGTAGGGGTAAGAGGGGCATAGTGAGGATCCCATGCCCCAGCTTGGTCTTCCGGCCGTTTGGAACAAATTGGTTGGTGGTAGGATCAATATCAACCTACTATCAGTTGATTTCGACAGTGAGCATGCATAAGGGCCTATACTCGATGATCGATTCTCTTCGTCGATTTCTCTTTTGTTAATAACTCGCTAGATTTAACGTTTCTCGGTGCGTTTGCTGTTGCTTTTGATAGCCAATACAACCTGTTACTACTCTGCATTGAACAAATTCTTGAAAATTGTTTCGCTTAGCTGTAGCAATGTAAAGAGAAAATCGATGAAGAGAATCGATCATCGCGTATTCGCCCTTATGAATGCTCACTGTCGATTTGTTTCATGCAGCTGGAGATTCAGAGCCAAAGTGCGGAATGCTCATTATGCCCCTCCTACCCATCAACAAAAATCTCCATTCAAAATCATTGGTTTTTTTTACGGGCAGGTCCTGTTTGGCGTCCAACAACGATGTCTTCTCGGTCGCGAATGACCGTGGCTTTGGTTAGGAGCACCGACTGATGAAATCTTTAGCAACAATTGCCGCCAACAAGCACGAGTCATTGACAGCTCAACATCGTTTACTTCTAAGCAAATGTTTACTCGATGTGTTTACCCCTTATCATTTCGGCCTATGGTCTTCCATTATACAAAAGAAGTGCAGATAACAATGAACACAACATAGTGACATGCTGTTTGACAACAGGCTTTCCCTTTCAATTTTCGTTAGAGAAAAAGAGATAACAGGCGGTGCCTCAATAGCATCAACTACTTTAAGCTAGTACATATGAGTAGATAGTGTTGCCGTGAGGTACACTCGAAAATTTCAAATGAAAGTGCGTCAAATCAAACTTCGAGCCGCTCCGTCTGTCACTTCGTTTGTGCTGTCACTGCTACTATGTTATGTTATGTTACAAAAAAAAAAAAAACTGTTTGAACTTTCTTATAAATTAATTTTACACTCAAAGCAAACTATTTACCTTAGCATTACAAAATATTAAAATT